CAGGCCAAGCAGCATCATAGGAGCAGAAAGGCTGACGTTATGATGCTGCTTGGCCTGCTGTGTTCATCCAGCTCTGCACCTTGTTGTCTCGGATTTTCCAGCATCTGCAGTTCCTACTATCCTAGATTTTCTTTATATAACAATTTGCAATTGTTTTATGGTCATCAGTAGATTCTTAATTCCAGATTTTTTTTTATTGTATTCAAATTCTACCGTTATACCATGATAAGATTTGAATGCAGATCCCAAGAATACTGGCTGAGTTTGTAGATTTAATAATCTATCGATTACTAGGCTACCAGGCCATCGCTTCCCCTTAACATCCTGGTGAATCTCTTTGGCACCCTCTCCAGTTCAATTACATCTCTCCCTGGTGTGGTGACCAGAACAGCACATGGCACTCCAGCTGTGACCTAACTAACATCATATACAGCTACATCACAACTTCCTTGCTCTTATATTCAATAAAGGCAAGAATCAAAAATGCCTTCTTAACCATCTTATTTTCCTATTCTGCTGCCTTCAAGGATCTACGGACATGTACATCAATGTCCCTCTGATCCTCTGTACTTCATAGAGTTCATCGATTTAATATGTACTCCTTTGCCTTGTTAGTCAAAGGTTCACACAGCATAGAAACAGGCACTCTGGCCCACCGTGTCTTTGCTGACCAATGAACAGCAAACTTCACTGAATCCAGTGACAGATCTCCTGTAATGATGTCAGCATTCAAGATGTGATGCAGAGCAAGTGGACTGCTGTTTAGGAGCCAGCTGCAGGGACTGACAGGGTAGTACTGAGGAGACAGAATGTAAAGTCTGTATTCTTGTGGTTAGCAGTTTGTTGGAAATGGCAGGGGTGGGAAGAGAGGTTGAAGAGCGAGGGAGAGCGATCTAATTTGGCAAGTAGTTGGTACGTTTCAGCAATTTGTTCCTAGTTGATTAGTTGTAGTTGGTAACAATCACAATGTCAAGACAATTCAGTCCTGTGAAATCCTCTTCCTGCAATACGTGGGAAATCAGGGATACTGCTAAAGTCCATGGTGACTGCATATGCAGGAAGTGTGATCATCTGCAGCTGAACTCATTCTGGAGCATCCATGAGGCTGAGAACATCGTGGATAGCATGTTTAGCATGCCGGTCACACCACAAGTAATGGATACACAAAGCAGAAAAACAATCGATGACCAGCTGGAAGACCAGCAAGAAAACCAGGCAGTGCCAGGTAGTGCACGAGTTCCCTGTGGCCAACCCAATTTCAAACAAATAAGACGGTGTTGGGACACTGTAGGCAGGATGACATCTTCAGGGGAAAGCAGCAACAGCCAAGTTTATGGCACCACAGTTGGCTCTGCTACACAGCAGAGGAGGAAAATGACAGGGAGACTGACAATTTGTGAAAGGGGACTCAACTGTAAGGGGTACTAACAGGTGGTGCTTTGGCCGCAGATGAGACTCTCAAATGGTATGTTGCCTCCCTGATGCCAAGGTCAGGGATGTTTCAGGAGAGGTGCAGGGCATTCTGAAGATGGTGAGGGTGAACAGCCAGTGGTCGTGGTACATGGTGGTACCAACATGGGCAAAAAAGAGACCCTACAACAGGAATTGAGACAGTTAGGTAGTAATTAGACAGGATGACTATTAAGGTCGTAATCTCCTGATTACTTACCGTAGCACATGCTCCTGAGTACAGGAATAGGAAGACACATTAGATGAACGTGTGGTACAAGAGATGGTGCAAGAGGAAGAGCTTTTGATTTTTGCATCATTCAGAGAGCTTTTGGAATAGGTGGCGGGTTTGCACTTGAACCAAAATGGGTCAAATATTCTTGGTGGAATGTTTGCGTGTGTTGTTGGGGATATGGCAGGGAGATGGAGCACATAGTAGATGTAAAGTCAGGGCAAGTTCCAATCTCACATAGAAAAGATGGATTACAATCTTACTAGGAGAGCCCAGTAGGCAGATAAGACATTGGCATAATAAGGCACATGGAATACCGGAAAGCTAAATCATATCCTTTTGAATGCAAGGAGCTTAACTGGTAAGGCAGATGAGCTTAAAGCGTCAATCAGTACATAGGAATGCGATACTACTGCAATCACTGAGACACGGTTGAACATAGAACAGTACAGCACAGTACAGGGCCTTCAGCTCATGATGTTGTGCCAACCTATTATCCTACTCTAAGATCAACCTAACCTGCATACCCTTCATTTTACTATCATCCATGTGCCTACCCAAGAGTCGCTTAAAAGTCTCTAAAGTATCTGACTCCACTATCACTGCTGGCAGCACATTCCACATGCCCACCACTCTCTGTGTAAAGAACCTACCTCTGACATCTCCCATATACCTTCCTCCAATTACCTTAAAATTATGCCCTCTCGTGATAGTCATTTCCGCCCTGGGAAAAAGTCTCGGGCTATCCACTCTATCTATGCCTCTCATCATCTTGTACACCTCTATCAAGTCACCTCTCATCCTTCTTCTCTTCAATGAGAAAAGCCCTAGCTCCCTCAACCTTTCCTTATAAAACCTGCCCTCCAGTCCAGGCAGCATCCTGGTAAATCTCCTCTGCACCCTCTCGAAAACTTCCACATCCTTCCTATAATGAGGTGACCAGAACTGAACACAATATTCCAAGTGTGGTCTAACCAGGATTTTATAGAGCTGCAGCATAACCTCGTGGTTCTTAAACTCAATTCCCTTGCCAATGAAAGCCAACTCACCATACGCCTTCTTATCAACCCTATCAACATGGGTGGCAACTTTGAGGGATCTATGGACATGGACCCCCGATCCCTCTGTTCCTGTACACTGCCAAGAATCCTGCATTCAAATTCAACCTTCCAAAATGAATCACTTCACACTTTTCCGGGTTGAATTCCATCTGCCACTTCTTTGCCCAGCTCTGCATCCTGTCAATGTCCCGTTGCAACAAGCCCTCCACACTATCCACAACTCCACCAACCTTCATGTCATCGGCAAACTTACTAGCCCACCCTTCCAAATCCGCATCTAAGTCATTTATAAAGATCACAAAGAGCAGAGGTCCCAGAACAGATCCCTGCGGAACACCACTGGTCACCGAGCTCCAGGCTGAATACTTTCCATCTACTACCACCCTCTGTCTTCTACTGGACAGCCAATTCTGTATCCAGACAGCCAAATTTTCCTGAATCCCATGCCTCCTTGAAGGAAGGGCAGGACAGAAGTTTCAGTTGTGATGGGGAGGGTTGTGAAAGTGGTAAGTGTATTGAATTACTGATAAAGGAAACCATCATTGCAGTAAGGGAAGATGGGGCAGGGTTTCCTAGAAAGACCTTCACGAGGCCATTCAAGTAGAGCTCAGAGATTTTTAAAAAGGGCAATTATTTTGTTGAGGTTATACTACAGGCCTCTCAACAATCAGAAGGAGATAAAGGGGCAGATGTGCAAGCAAATCACAGGAAGATGAGAGAGGAAGAGGGTAATAGTTGCAGATGACTGCACCTTTGCTAACATTAACTGGGCCTGCCTTAGTGTGAAAGGATTAGGCAGGGTGGAATTTTTAAGAATGTATCCGGGAAAGGTTTTGGTGCCAGTACATAGATAGCATTACTAGAGATGGAGCTGTGCAGACCTAATCATAGGAAATAAAGCTCGTAAAGTGGTTGAAGTGTCAGTGCAGTAATGTTCTGTGGATAGTGACCATAACTGTAAATTTCAAAGCCATTATGGCAAGGGATAAGGATAGTCCAGAAGTTAAGTGTCTAAATTGGGGTAAGTCTGATTTCAGTATCATTAGAGAGGATCCAGCAAATGTACACTAGAGTAGTTACTTGTGGGTAGGTCTACATTTAGATATCAGGAATCTTTTAAAAGTAGAATAGTGAGAATTCAGGGCCAGTGTGCTCCTCTAAGAACACAGGGCAAGGGCAGCAAATCCAGGAAACCCTGGATGTCAAGGATGTCCAGGTTTTGAAAAGGAAAAATAAGGTAACATATTAGGTACAGTGCACGAGAAAGAGGGTTGCTCTTCAGGAGTATACAGTGTTTTGAAGAGGTGCTGCCTGGGATGGAACATCTCAGTTATGAGACTCAATGGGCTAGGTTTGTTCTCCTTGGAACAGAAGAGGCTGAGGGGCAATCTAATTGAGACATACACAATTGTTGAGAGGCCTGGTGACAAGTTAGATCATGAGAATCATTTCCCATGGCAGACATGTCTAACACCAGAGGGCACAATTTCAGGTGACAAGTAAGTGATTTTAAGAAGATCTGAGGAAAGCATTTTTTCTGAGGGTGGTAGAAATATGGAACACACTGCCTGAAAGGGCAGTGGAGGCAGGTAGTCTCGCAATATTTAGGAAGCACCTGGATGAGCAGTTAAATGCCAGGGCATGGTAGGCTATGGGCCAGTGCAAGTAATTGGGATTTGTGTATTTTGGTGATTCTAGGACAGCATAGACAGGGCCAAAGGTCTGTTTCTCTGCCATAGATTTGCCTTGTATTTTCTAAAATACTGTCACTGTTGTAATCTAACAGAAGAGCACTATTTCTGCAGAGAAATATACCCGAATCCTGTTCAGAATGGGTATATTTCTCTGTAGAAATAGTGCCGTTAAGTTACATTACAGTAGTGACGACATTTCAGAAAATACAGAGCAAGTCTACGATCAGTCTAGCTAAGTTTTAAGGTATACCATGATCCCGTTAACCTGCAAAAGAGTACAGATTGCAGAAATGGAATATGACCTGAATGTATGCAATAGATTCATAATCAATATTTGATCATCTTTACCGTCAAAACTGTAACTTTCTACATCCTCTTCAGGTAAACAGACAGTCTCCCACATTGGTTCCTAGAATTAAAAGGAGAAATTTGCCCCAAGTTTTGATACAAAGTTCAGCAACACAAGCAAGCTGTATCACTCTACGATGTTTAAACACAAACATTTTTCCAAAGCAATGAAAATATTGCACTTAACTCTAGCTTTGAAAATCATATGAGCTATTTACACTCTTTCCCCGTTTACCTCAAATCTGTTCAATTACATTAAATTTTTCAAAAGCTACCCTCGCCTAAGATGTTAGTTGCCTTTCTTCTCCAACATCATGCTAAATATTAAACTTTGTCAGTGATTACTGCTTTCATTCTTGGCATGTGAGTGTCACACAGCATTAGCAGTTAATTCTATCAGTCTTATTTCACAATTAAAGCAGCTTGGTATATTTTTCTGACATTTCCTTAAAACATGTTTGCTCTGATGTAAGGAATAGCATAAATTAATTTTCCAGTTTAATAAAAAATAAAATGCTGTGGATACTGGGCGTCTGGGAAATAAAAACAGAAAAGAAAATCTCACTCCCAAATCCAAAGTCAGCCATTTCATCAGCATATCAGACCGTATCTGTCGAGGGGGAAATTGAGTTAACATTTCTAATATGACTCTTTTTTTGGAACTATGATATTAACTGGATTATAGTTACTTGTATGGTCATGTGGCCAGCAGCAGAAATGGCTGCGAGACTATTTAAGAGCTACAATCAAGCATGCTGGAAATTTTGGTCAAGCCAGTTTAAACTCAGGTCTCAGTTAAACTGCAACCAGGACGTACTGTCACCTGAGATAACAAGGTGTAGAGCTGGATGAACACAGCAGGCCAAGCAGCATCAGAGGAGCAGGAAGGCTGACGTTTCGGGCCTAGACCCTTCTTCTGTAGTTTCCTATGTTAACCAAATAAGGCAAGTGTCATGGGATCTCTAGACATACTGGCACCACTATTACCTTTTACGGAGAATGGCCTATCACTGTTTACAACTTGCTGTAAATATTTGGGAGTTGTTTATCAGTAAATTCCATTGGCTGAGATCGAACTACGTGATCAGGCTTTGATCAATTCATTGGCTGAGTGCCAGAGACTTCTCTGGAAATAGAGCACATTTTACAGAACAAAGATTTTTTTCTCTCTGAGCGGAGAGAGTGCAAGAAGCTTTGAGACTACACTGGAAAAACACATGCCGTGAAGTTACCTAACAAAGTACAAAGAACCATAAGGAAAGACACTAATGGAAAACAAAGTCGGCCAGTTCACTCGAATCAGGTTAGTACTTGAGATTCAAGCCAAATTTATACCATTAGAGTTAGGTTAAATGTGGATTAAGTTAAGACTAAGGTAAAATGAAGTTAAATGAAGTGAGTTAGAGTTGAAGTCAAGTTAGATGAAGTGAGAATGTTGCATTGGTACTTAGAATCAAATAAAGAAGGGATATTTAATTAAGTGCTGAATCAGTTCCATGCCATTTGTCTGTCAAACAAGGGAATACCTAAGTAAGGTTTGAGCACTCCTTTTCGGGCAACGCTTGGACTGACTTTACACCCTTCTCGAACAAGAGTGTCACATTGTGGTTGGTTGGCTCGCCGAGCTGGTTTGTTGTTGTTCTGCAGACGTTTCATTACCCTGCTGGGGAACATCATCAATGCAGCCTCCGATGAAGCGCCGTTGTGTTTTCCCACCTGGTTTTTAAACTCTGGAGCCCTGGAGGTGGATTACCTCACCTCCGGTTTTCTTTCGCAATGGAGCGTATGTGGGGTCGAGTTCTATGTGTTTGTTGATGGCTTTCTTCGTGGAGTACCAGGCTTCTAGGAACTCCTGTGCCTGTCTCTGCCTTGCTTGTCCCAGGATCTTGATGTTGTCCCAATCGAATTGGTGGTTCTCCTTGTCCATGTGGATAAAGATGAGTGAGTATTGGTCATGGCTTTTTGTATCCAATTGGTGTTCATGTACCCTTGCTGTTAATTTCCTTCCTGTTTGTCCGATGTAGTGTTTGTCACAGTCTCTGCAGGGAAACTTGTATATGACATTGGTCCTGTCCGTAGTGGGAAGTGGGTCTTTGGTTCAGGTGAGCAGTTGTCGTAGGGTTGATGCAGGTTTGTGTGCTACTCTGATGCCCAGTGGTCGCAGGAGTCTTGTGGTTAGTTCCAATGTGTTCCTGATGTCAGGTAGCGTGATGACTGTGTCGGGGTGTGTAGTATCTTCCTGATTCTGACCCAGTTTTTTGGATATCCATTGTCCTTGAATACCTGGAAGAAGTATTCTTCTTCTCGGCATAATTCTGTGCTGTGTTGTTGCCCATTTAAATAATGTTCGCACGCAGCTTCATTTGTGTGTGTTAGGATGGTTACTGTTGAAGTTCAGTACTCGGTCAGTGTGGAGTCTTTTCTGTGTACTTTCGTTTGGAATTCCCCATTTGTCCTGCGCTCTACCATGGTGTCCAGGAATGGAAGCTGTTTGTTCTTCTCCTCCTCTCTGGTGAATTTGATTCTGGTGAGGGTGTTGTTTATTAGTTTGTGTGTCTCCTCTACTTTGGTCCATTTAATGATGACAAAGGTGTCGTCCACGTTGTGTCACACTGAAATCTTTGGGTATCATCTATGTATCTAGGGAAGATTGTAGTAACCTTATCCATTATCACCGATCCCACGTCCTTTAACAACCTGGCATGCAAGATATATGAACCAGGCATCTTATATGTTCAAAACATCGCCATCTTGCGCTACACCATTGCTGCTTCTATTAATATTTTGTCATCTTGACAAAATACATAATATCCATCAAGTATTATAGCTTGTCCTGTATATTTAAGCACATATCATCACCTCGAAACTGATATCTATTTCAAGCCCACCAGTTCCCACAGTTACCTAGACTACACCTCCTCTCACTTACTTCCTGCAAGAATGCGATCCCCCTACTCCCAATTCCTCCACCTCCGCCGCATCTGCTCCCAAGATGAGGCGTTCCACTCTCGAACATCCCAGATGTTCTCGTATTTCAAGGACGGCAATTTGCCCTCCTCAGTGGTCGAAAACGCCCTCGACCACATCTCTTGCGTTTCCCACACCTCAGTCCTCACACAGCCTCCCCGCAATAAAAACGAAGACAGAATTCCCCTTGTCCTCACGTATCACCCCATTAACCTCCGGATTCAACACATCAGTCTCCGTCACTTCCGCCATCTGCAATCTGACCCCACTACGAAGGATATATTTCCCTCACCACCCTTATCTGCCTTCCGTAGGGACCACTCTCTCCATGACTCCCACGTCCGCTCCACACTCCCACTAGCCCCACCTCACCTGGCACCTTTCCCTGCAACCGCAGGAGGTGCTACACCTGCCACTACACCTCCCCGCTCACCTCCAACCCAGGCCCCAAAAAAACCTTCCACATCGAACAAATGTTCACCTGCACATCGCTAATGTGGTCTATTTGTATCCGCTGTTCCCAACATGGCCTCTTCGACATCAGTGAAACCAAGCGGAGGCTCAGAGACTGCTTTGTAGAGCGGTTCGCGACAAACGACAACACCTCCCAGTCACGAACCACTTCAACTCCCCCTCCCTGGATGACATGTCCATCCTAGGCCTCCTCCAGTATCACAACGATGTCACCCGGAAACTGGACGAACAGCACCTCATATTCCACCTTGGAAGCCTACAACCCAATGGTCTCATGGTGGACTTTGCTAGCTTCAAAATCTCCCCACTCCCAACCTCATCCCAACACCAGCCCCCCTCTCATCACCGCCTCATTGACCTGTCCGTCTTCTCTCTCACCTATCTGCTCCTCCCACCCCACTGACCAATCCCCACCACTACCTACCTACACTCACTTTTACTAGCTTCCCCACCCCCGACCTCATCCCTGCCTCATTGACCTGTCCGTCTTCTCTCCCATCTATCTGCTCCTCCCACCTCATTGACCAATCCCCACCACTACCTACCTGCTATCACCGACCCCGCTCTCTATTTCAGAGCCCCCTTCTCCTCCCCCATTTCTGAAGAAGGGTCCTAAACCGAAATATCAGCTTTCCTGCTCCTCTGATGCTGCCTGGCCTGCTATTTTCCTCCAGCTCCACACCATGTTATCTCAGACTCCAGCATCGGCAGTTCATACTATCTCATCTATTTAGTCCATTATAGCCAACAAAAGGAGGCCATTCAACCTATCGTTGCCTGTACCAGCTCTTGAAAGAACCATCCAACTAGTCCCATTCTCCCATCCTATATCTCTTTAGGCCTCTAAATTCATTACTTCCAAATAAATATCTAGCTCTCTTCTGAAACTTCCGATGGAATCTGCTTCCACCACTCTCCCCATTCCAAATCCTAACAACTTTCTCAGTAAAGAAGTTTCACCTCCTCTCTCTCCTAGTTTTCTTACTGATGATCTAGAAATTGTGATTCCCTAGTCATTGTTGGAAACAGAATATCCTTCTTTACCCTGTCAAACAAGACCATAATTTTAGAACATCTCAATGAGATCACCTCTTAATCTTCCCTGCTCCAAGAAGAATAAGCCCAATTTCTCTACTCTTTCTTTGTATGTATAATCCGTTACTACTGACATCGTTCTATTAAATCTCCTTTTCACTCTCTCCATGTCGGGAGAAGATTTTTGGGCTATATCTGATGCCAGCTACTCTCATACTTGCTTTTTATCAGTTGATTTTCCTTTGCATTTCCCCAATCAACTCACTGCAACTGGCCTAGTTTTCACTTGAAGAATTTAACTGCCATGCATTACACTGTACATCACACCTTCATTTTACTGTGCCATCATATCCTCTATCCCACCTATGTTGCAAGGCATTGGTTCCCATTTGCCACTTTTGTTGGAATAGACCAAGTGGATTAAAGCTGTCTTCCTTAAAAATGACTGGTTATTTTATTGCAGTTCATATTGTCAAGCATTGCCTCTACTCTTGCCTTAGCTAAATTCCTTTCCATCTCAGACCAGTCCTCACCTTATTTAATCCACATTTCCACTGTGCAGGGCTCAGCCCAGAGTTTTCAACAGCTAATCACTTTAATACACTATTGAGTGGCAACGAATTTTGCTAGGATCAGAATTTTTGAACATCACATTATTTAGTTGACATAACAAGGTGTAGAGCTGGATGAACACAGCAGGCCAAGCAGCATCAGAGGAGCAGGAAGGCTGACGTTTCGGGCCTAGACCCTTCTTCAGAAAAGCTGACACTTCATTTTCACTTGCATGCCAATTACTGCAGTTGCCAGTCAAATCACTGTAATACACTTACCTCATCATCTTCTTCAGTAATGACATAAAATGACATACTTTGGCTGCCAACATTAAAATCAATCCAGAACTCTTCTAGTTTATCATCAGATGGCATCTTCAGCTAAAATAATTAAGATATAAAGACATTAACTGAACTTCACCATAGTAATTGTTTAACAAATTCCTACAGCCATCTATAAAAATGACCTAATAACAGACTAGACTTTTTTTCTTGCATCTAACATTACCATTGATTTGTTTCTCAACCTTAAATGCAATTAGTCTTGCTTTCCAGGAAATTTTAGGGGCCAGTTAAGAGTCAACCATTTTGCTGTGGTTCTCGAATCACATGTAGGCCAGACTCAGGACAGTGCAATTGCTTTCCTAAAGGATATTAGTGAACCAGATAGGCCTTTGCAACATTGGTTACACAGTTGCCAATGGACTAACTTTTATTTCCAAATATTATTAAATGTAAATTTAATCACTCATTATGAATAAGTGCTGATATCACAGCCTTAAGAGGTGCATTTTGTCCTTTTTTTTTGAAGAGAGATTCAGACAGAGATGCCGAGCTGTCTCTTCCTAGCCAATTAAGTAAACAGTTTGAGAGGCCCTGGAGATTTCTTTTTTACATAAAGTTAGAACAATAGAGTAGCATGAATGGGTGGAGACAGGCTCCCACAAAACAAGGGTTTTAGTTTGACTTTCAGTTGTTGGGGTTTTGAAGTTGGCTGTGGAGGCTGTGATACATCTCCCCACCACAGTAAAAAGCCTGAGTTCTCTCTTTCAGCAAGAATTTTCTCTGGGTGTTTTTTTCTCCTGGGTTGGAGAAACATTGCATGTGAGATAATCTATTTTACTGAATTTGCTCTTGCCAAGGGTTTGATTATGGGATGTTGCTATATTGAAACAATTGCTGTTTAGTAGCTAAATAATTTATTATTCTGTTAACTTTTCCAATAGTGTTAAAGTTATACCACGTTTTTTTGTTTGTATGTTAACAGTAGTGTAAGAAGAAAGTAAGTTTGCTTAAAGCCTAGTTGTGTGGCCAATCAATCATATCTAGAATGCTGAGCCTTACAGTTGTCTGTAAGTAAGATTAAAGTTAGGGTCTAAGCTGTCTCCTTGATATATTTTGAGAGGGTTTGGTCTGGTCCCTAACACACAGAACATAGAACATTCAACAGTACAGCACAGGAACCATAAGAACAGACCCTTTGGCCCACCATGTCTGTGTTGACCATGATGCCATTCTAAGCTAATCCCATCTGCGTGCACATGGTCTGTTTCCCTCTTTTCCCTGCCTGTTCATGTGTCTGTCTAAGTGCCTTTTAAACATTGCTATCATCTCTGTTTCTACCACAATCCCTGGCAGCACATTCTAGTCACTTACTACCCTCTGTATAAAAATATATAACTTTGCACATCTGCTTTAAACTTTTCCCTTCTCACCTTAAGCAATGATCCCCAGTATATGACCTTTCCACCCTGGATAAAAGACTCCGACTATCCACATTTTTCATTAATTTATATACATCTATCAGGTCATCCCTCAGCCTCTGATATTCTAGCAAAAACAATCCAAGTTTGTCCAATATTTCCTTTTAGCTAATACACTCCAATTCAGGCAACATCCAGGTAATCCTCTTCTGTACCCTGTCCAATGCCTCCACATCCTTCCTGTGGTGGCCAGAACTGCATCTTCCAAACTCATGACCACTTCTATCCAGAAGGACAAGGGCTGCAAATTCCCTTCCAATGCACTCACCATCCTGACTTGAAAACATATTGCCATTCCTCCATTGATGCTCGTCAAAACTCTGGAATTCCTTTCCTAAGGGCACTGTGGTCTACCCACACTACAGAGACAGCTGCATTTCAAGTAGGAAGCTCACCACCAACTTCTCAAGGCCAACTAGGGATGAGCAATATATATCGGTTAGCCAGTGATGCCCACGTCCCACAAGCGAATTAAAAAAATACTTTCCTACCTTACCCCCATAACTCTTGATTCCTGCCATGATTAGAAATCCATCTATCTCAGCCTTAAATATATGTTACAATGCAGGAAAGAATTCCACAGATTCACCACCCCATGAGAAACAAAATCTTCCTCATCTCTCTCTTAACACCTGGGCACAAAGACAGAAATTGGGTGCTTTGCTTTATTCAGAATTAGACTCTCTGATCCTGGATATAAACAGAGAGAAGTCAAGGAAACTATTGCTATGAGAGCAGAACACTGGTGAGAAAGTCTTGAATATATGGACCCCACAGAAATTTAAAGAATAAGTTGTCACCAGATGGTGTCTTGCTGTTTGAAGTACATCAATGTTCAACAGGGAGATCATCATCATAGAATCCTTACAGTGTGGTAACAGGCGCTTCGGCCCAACAAGTCCACACCGACCCTCAAAGCATCCCACCCAGACTCATCCACCTATATCCCACCTAAGCTACACATTCCTGAACACTACGGGCAATTTAGCATGGCCAATCTACCTAACCTGCATATCTTTGGACTGTGGGAGAAAATCGGAGTACCTGGAGGAAACCCACGCAGACACAGGGAGAATGTGCAAACTCCACACAGACAGTCACCCAAGGGTGGAATCAAACCCGGGTCCCTGGCACTGTGAGGCAGCAGTGCTAACCACAACAGAGAATCTGCTGAATTAATGGGAGGGAAGTTGGGACTTGAATAAAATCAAGACTACATTTCTGCTAATAGTACAGCATAATGTATACATATGGAATGTGGCTTCCAGCCATGTTAAGAAACATCCATTTTCATAAACCGTAGTAAGAAATTTGACTTTTGGACATTAGTGTATTAGCTGTCGACGAAGTACTACTTAGTCAATGTTGATTTTGGTTTGATGTTAGAGTAAAAGTTTTAAAACATGAAATCTTGTTGTGTGGTCCAGCTAGTCTCTAGGAATTTAAATCTCCTTTTAAAATCCTCCTCTTCTTTCAGTGGTAAAAGTATTGAGACTGCATCCATCTTGGACTCTGAGGTTTCCTCGACACTAGGTGGAGGGGGAGAACCCACAGCTTCTGACAGGCCTTATGGCTGTTCTAAGGGGGCAGATGTGTTTTGCTCCTGCCCCGTTTGTGAGATAGCAGCTTTCAGGTGATCCATGTTTGCTCGGTATTACCTCATCTACCCGAATTTTGAATGTCAGGGGACCTGACTTCATGTCAAACCTGCCTCATACCTATACAGGGCCACTTCCATGATTCTGGCACCAAACTTGAAATAAACAGTCTCTCTTGCTTAGGGAAAATACGTGGTCAGCATTGGCATTCCTGCTGCCGTTTCACCCTCCTCCCCAGGTCTGGGAAAATCAAGTTTAACTTGGTGAGGAGTCTTCTCCTCATCAGCAACTCTGCTGCAGCTATCTCTATAGCTGCGTGAGGAGTGGTCCTAAAATCGAACAGGAACTGAGACAGTTTGGTATCGAATGACACTGTAGGCTGTTTCCTTGCACCTGCCTTCAACATTTGGACTAAGGTGTAGAGATCTACATCTTGTTATCTCAGATTCTGCAGCATCTGCAGTTCCTACTACCCCTTCAACATTTGGACCACTCTTTCCGCCAGTCCATTGGACGATGAATAGTATAAAGCTGTCTTTATGTGCAGAATATCATTCAACTTTAGGAAAAACTCAAAATCCCTGTTGGTGAATCAGGTCCCATTGTCCATGACTAATACTTCCAGATGTCTATGTATCGCATCGGCACTCACAGCTTTTCAATCATCACACCTGAGTTTTCCAAATGAACTCTATGCACATCCAATGGGCATCCACACTGACCAGGAACATTGAGTCCCTGAAAGAAACAGCATAATCAAAATGTCACCAAGTCCAGGACTTACCCAGCCATTCCCAAGCATGCAGGGGCGCCACTGGTGGCAATCTTTAGCCTTGCTGGCACTCTGGGCACTGGCCCACCAAACACAGCTATGTTAGCTTCCAATCCTAGCCACCAGGCAGAATTTCTTCCCAACATCTTCATTTTGTGAACTCCTGGATGACCCTAGTAGAGTTCAGCCAATATCTGGCGGCGACATCTCCTCTTCCTCTATGGTGATCTGGTCTTGCTGGGTCCAGAAAGGTTTCAATCCTGATTGTGATGGCCATTCTGTTTACCCGATTAGCACCAGCTATTTTAGTTTTGCCAGGACAGGATCTTTTTGTGTTGACAGTTGGATACTGATGACAATTAATGGAAGGGTGTCCAGAGAGTTTAAAGTCAGAATGGACTCTTTCAGGGTAGGCACCACCAGTGGAGCATCTGCCAGTGGGAGGTGGCTCCAGCATCCACATTAGCCACCTGGCTTCATGGACAGTGTTCCAACTTGTATATGCTGACAATAAGGGCCCACTGCTGAATTTGACCAGAAACTATGGCTGGCACTGCCTTGCCTTTCTTCAGTAGCCGTAGCTTTGATCAGTGGTCTGTTACTATGACAAATTCATGTTTATTAAGGCATTGGTGGAGCTTCCTCACACCAAAGATAACCGTAAAGCCTTCCTTCTCTATCTGGGCATACCTGCATTCAGCATCAGCCAAAGTCTGGGAAGCACACGCTATTGGGCGTTCCTCTCTTGTTGGGCCACCGGGGACTCAACACTACCCCAATACTTTACAGGGATGCACCAGATGTCAGCACCATCCCTCGTTTCGGATCATTGTGGGCCAACACTTTAGACGACAATAGCTGCCTTTTCACTTCCCTAAAGGCTACTTCTTGGCTACGCGGCCATTTCCAAGGCTGACACTTCTTCAATAATAGGTGTAAGTGTGCCAAGATGGAGGCCAGGTTACGAATGAATTTTCTAGAATAATTCACTGACCCAAGGAAAGACCCTAAGCCCCGTTGCAGACATGGGAGCCAGGGCTCCTTTGATCGTTCTCACTTTATCTTCCAACAAGTGTAACCAGGTTTTATCAACTCTGTAAACCAAGTAGGTCACTTGGAGTGCCTGGAATGCAGATTTTTCCCTTCTAAGGCATACACCTGCCTGGGAGAAATGTTTAAGCCCTATGTCCAAGTTCTCCAAGTCCTCTTTATTGATCTTTCCAGTTATTAGCATGTCATTCAGATAAG